ACGTTTAATTTTTCCGCTACTGACTAAGCGCTGCTGAATATGGCCTTTTTGAGAAATGTGCGCGCGTTATTATAGTAAACTAGTATAGTAAATTTCAATATTTTTTCCTTTGTAAGGATGTCAATGCATGTAAAATAAGTCATTATACAAAAGTACCTGGTCTGAATTCTTCCCCGGTCCGTTACACCAGCGGTAGAATGTGCCCTAATCTGGGCGTACCTCCTAATTCAAACGGGGTACTGCCTTGCTTATCTAACCTAATGACCAAGAGACATAATCACATCTCACTGATAAGTTATGGCTCGTGTTATCTGAAGGTTCTGGAGGTAGTTCGGAACCAGGCCACGCTTAGATCTTGCGACACTGCCTTTGGATCGATAAGTGTACTTTCCTTTCCGCAGAATCTCCATATTTTCTATTTCTGTGCCTATACCGTCTCACTATTCGCCGTGCCGATTCTTCATTGTAGCAAGGTAAGAGCGCAAGCTCACGCCAAATGATTGCTGCGTGTTCATCTGGTGAATTACATGGAATTACTTAGCGTGACAGTTCTACCTAAACTCTCCTTGTAACATACAGCGCAGTAGAAGTTAGAGACGGATTATGCACAGCAGGTAGCATGCTCCGGTGAATGAGGTTCGATCCAAGGTCGCGGGAAACTCGTCCGGAAATTTTTCTCGGTGTAAATTCAGCGGCGAGTAGAATATAGCACCCCACTACTAGTACAGAACGTTCGCCATCATTCATTCCTCAGAAGTTGAAATATTCTCACCTTATTGCTGTTGCTACCATCTGACCGGGCCGACGGAGTAGCGGGATGCTCGCGCCACCCATCTCATCGGCGATGTTGGCATGTGGTCTCGCAATGTGTGCACGCAACGCGTCCGCACGCCCCTCGCCTGGCATACTGCCAGCCGTTTTGCCTGTCAGCTGATTCGAAAAAGAGCCAACTATTCGAAAAAGCGCCGACTGCGGGCGGGCTCATGTCAGCGCGTGATACCGTACTTGGAAAGGGTCATCGCCACGATCAAGTGTGTCTAGGATATTTGAATTCATCGTCTCGTCGACACATTCTACCATCGACCTTGCAACGCTAGACTATTCCACATTTCTAGGCCTGAATATTAGTGATGACTGGCGGCGAGTCGAAATCCACTGTTGTGGAGAAGACGCACCACTTACAGTGAGTCAGTCTCAAGTCTCACATCTGACGTCTGATTGCCGCGTTTTGTTCGTTTTCATTCATATGTCGATTAGAAACGATTTGACTCCTTAGATGCCTTGTTCTTGCTTTATAAACTGGCTGGCTAACAGACCACATATGCAGTTGCCTTTGATTTGACCCATCCATGTGGTCTCTCATTTGGTATTCAATCGATGCAAGACTGAAACATGTTGGGATAATCCCACGATGTAAACAACTGGCCGAATACATTTTAACATTTGCTCCTTTGACCCTAATTCCTACTCGTATTGGTACAATTTTTTCACTCACGTCAATATTACTATCTGTTGTACTAATCGGTGGCTTGTGAGTCGCTTTGATGTGCTTTTACTGTCGCTTTGCACCACCCAGTTTCCTCTGCAACATATTGATTGATAGAAGTGAAGAGATTTTCGCTATTTGCTATTGCGTTTTGGTGTCGCGGTCATCGTTCTTTGTGAAACGCTCACGATTATGATCACGCTTATTTTGTGCGGCATGTTTATGCACCTATGGATAGTTTTTTCTTCTTCCTTAGATTGGACACTCATTTTNTTGCTGCAGCTCTCAGTTCTGTGTGTCATGTTCCTGTCAATGTACTGATCGTACGGCAAAGCACAACATTTTAGGCGGTAGTTTTCTTATGGGACTGCATGAGGTGTCAACACGCCGAGATTGCTAGCTAGGCTGCCTGTTCGCGTCAATACTTTGAGATGTGATGTGCTCTCTCTCCCTATATCTATCTGTATCTATATGTATATATATATATATATATACTCGTTACCGCTGAGACAGAGTACGTGGCATTTGAACATGGCATAGACTGGGTTACTCGTGGGATACCTTAGTTTGAGACAACTTTCACCTTCATGTTTGGGGAGAACATGACCGCAATTGTGTCAAAATGAAAACAGCTCTCTAAAAGCAGAGCCAACGTCACGTTTGGTTTGAGGACCCAGCCACCCACACCTCAGAATTTCGAGTGTGTGTATATATTATAGTGTAGCCGGAGAACACACACACACACACACACACACACACACACACACACACACACACACACACACACACACACACACACACACACACACACACACACACACACACACACACACACACACACACACACACACACACACACACACACACGCACACGTTTCACACACACACACCTCCACACACACACACACACACACACACCGTTAGTCGCTCTTCTCTCATTCAAGTGCCACTAATCGATATTCTGCTGGCGTTGGTGTTTTTCGATTGCTTTGCAAAACAACGCTCAAACGGCCAAATATGCGCCAGTGGGTGAAGACCTACTACAAACGACATTGTAAAAGTTGCTTTCTGGACCTTAGGGATTCATGGTACTGCAACATAAGGAAGCTTCTAATCATGGTTTTACAGGGGTCGTACAGTGAGTGCTAGTGGGTGTTGAACTGAAGGGGAAATAGACAGGAAAACTGCCGACGGGAACTTAATCCCCTTGAAATTTAGCTTTTGCTGCAGTTCGCTTTCGCCAGTCCATCGTTTGTGGGATATTTCTTGTGAATTCTCTGGAATAGAATAAGTGTTAGGATTCCTTTTATATCAGTGAGAATCTTTAAGTTGCTAATCGATAACAAACTCTTACAACTTCTCGGCGTGGGCGTCTATTTCGGTTACTTCGCTGTCTTATGAAGGGGCTATGATTGAATCATTCTGGCCAATTGTGTAAAGAACTGCGGTCACTCAGTACTCTAACTATAACTAAAAATACTAAATGCCTATATTCAAATCCAAGGGAGAGGTAATTCTTCAAAAAGACCTGTTACAGGAAAGAAAACGGGTTATATATATTCAAGCTGATTTTTCGAATATTTTGAAATATGAAGTCAACGTAGCTCATCTAATATGAGGTTATCTCATGCAAAAATATGGCGACAAATGGAGCATTGGCAGGAAACCAGGGGCCACGGACAAGGGTCTCTGTATTGATTGTAAGCTAGTACCTTTAGTACCGTACAGCCTAGTTTGCTGCTGACGAAGGGGCATGTCGGTGTGGCCGCGTTTGGCGCGGTGCCAAACCCGTTCTCCACCAGTTCTTGAAGCGAGCAGGTGACAAAACTGTATCATATTCTTCATGTCACTCGTTTTTTTTCAATTATTGTCGCATACCCGCAACAAGAACTGGCAGAGGAACGGACTTGCCGGGGCACATCATTGGTCGGGGATTTTACTCGATTCCGTGCGACCCTCCCCCCTCCTCTCCGGCCGGCCCCCTGTCCCCCCTCATCAGATCGAGCCGTCGAGCGAGGGGGGGGGGGAAGGGGGGGGGGGGATAAATAGCACATGTGAAACAGGAAAAACCGCGAG